CTCTGTACTGGCAAAAAGAAGTGAGCCATGCCCGTGTACTCAGCCGGGATTCTGCGGGGTCTGTTAGAGTTGCTCTTAATGGCACCTCTATAGCACAGGCGGATCAAGTTCCAGTCACTTTTCCAAGGTTGTCCTCCATGTGCTCCTTGTTTTCTGTACATTTTTGGGCTCATTACTGAATAAGTGAGAAACGCCAAAACAACGCTAAGAGCAGACCATCAACAACACAAGACCAATGACATGCCCTCCAGCAGAACTGCAGAAGGTTCTTACTCCTGTTCAGGTAAGCCACATGGCATTGCAGCAAAACATGGTTCAGCACCAAACCCTCCTGAAGAAGCTCAAGCTCCACCAAACAGTTCTGCTCGACTCTGACCTTAATTTTTACCACCAGCTAAACCATGGCCAAAATGGTCAAAATAGCCAGGTTTATCTTCAGAAGTATTCCATCTTAGCTGACTCCCAAATCAACGGATGTATATACCCTGCACCTGTTAGCTTTTCTTTGGTGAAAGAACAACTGATGCTGCACATAGGCACTCTGATCCTGAAAGGTCAAATCGCACTATAGGAGTTTCATCTTATAAGGTTTTTGTCTGTGTCCCTGAGAATCAACACTGAATGGATGATGTAATAGAGGTAGATGCCACTGCAATTTGCTTATCCCCAGTTCAATCGTTTTGCTGGTGAAGACCTGCACAGCAATTAAACACTTCATCAGGTTAAACAATTGGAGTTCACAAGTGAAGACTGCAAAGATCAGGTGCATACAAAAGAACTTGCAGTAACAGCACTCAAGTCACGCACTCCCACATTGTTGCTATGAACAGTGGTTGGGTTCGCCGGTTTTCCCCCAGATCTCCAAGAAGTGGCATTAAATATGGAGAAAGTTCTTTGCTAGTAGCAAACTGGTGTCTTCTAGTGCTGGAAAAGCATGTTATACACAATTAGCCAAGGCAAACAATTGTGACGGGAAATTGACATGAAAAAATACAGTTTACTACTGAATTAAATCAATTAAACATTCAAGAACTGTGTAGTCCAAGCACCAAGGAGAATATAAATACTGCACAAACAGGCTACACTGCTACACTGTTTTAACAGTGAGGTATCATCTTGGTTAGGCTCTTCGTTTAACAAGTAGAAATTAACAAGGATATTTTTCACCAAAACAACAACTTATGTGAAGCACACTGAGAGTGGGAATCTATCTTTAAAAAGAGTGAAAATGTATTGGTGCATGTCTCATTGAAACACCCACAGAAAAGGGTGTCAAAAAGTAAATGGATAGCAGTATAGCACCACTCAAGGAAAATGTGCAATCATTTAAGACAATTAAAATATCATAAATTGCTTCTTAGTGCATATTTCACCCTTGATCAGCCAGCCATGTTGCCTGAGGGCAACTTCAAGAGGAGAGAGGGACTAGAATATGTTTATTCCTTTTTGTCTAAATAGGTGACAATGCTTAGCCTTATATACAATACACAGTAAGCAGGTTGCAAACAAATAACTAATTACAGGAGTAAGAGATTGGGATCTAGTTCGATCAGATAATTCTTCCCTAGGCTATGTTTGTTTGGGGTTGAGAGCTGGGTTATGGAGGTTTATGTTAACCTGACCAAAGTCTTTCAGACCTCTTTACACAGGACTAAATCAGCTTACTATAATTAACTATTCAAGAAAAGTATTCCCCGGACCCTTGAACTATCAAACAGAAAAGAACTGCAGCTCCTTTGTCCTAAGGAAAAAACAGACCTTCCAAAATCCTTATCCAGATAACTTCTACTTTGGGATTGTCACCTATATGCCAGACATGGGATTGACAGGGGCATCCCAGACCAGCCAGAGAGAGTATACCTCCATTGAACATTATATATGCAAAAAGGAGAAAAATGGAACCAAATATGACTAACTAACTGATGTATAGATTGCAAAAATGTTCTATGTATGCATGCATTACAATCAGAGGCGCTCACAAGGAAACAAACATGACCAACTAATTGATTATTAGGATTTAAAATGAGATAAAATGAATGCACTATGTATGCATGTATTACCATCAGACACTATAAAACCAGATGCGAGACATCCTGAAACACGATGTACTTCAACTAAAATAAGAAAAATGACTAGACATCCTGAAGCCCCATCGCCCTGATGCCTATGTTTCTAATATTTAGTTTAATGCTTTATCTGGCCACTGAATCATATCAGTAACCTAGAAGACATCATTTTCCATAGTAATTCATATTACGGAACTCATTTCTCTGCAATGTGAATATGAAAAGGAACCTAAATCATTGTCAGAGATACTGCATACTTCCAAATTGCATCTCATTTGGATCATAAACACTCAATTATTCAAACCTAGAAGGATAAAACACCTATCAAGTATCAACCAATCACTATCACTAGGATCAAAACAAACTATACAGAGGATAGAACACCTATCAAGTATCAATTGACATCCAATATCACTAGTATAAAAAAATTATACACAGCAAGCAGAACAAACCTAACATAACGATGGTAGTTGATCCAGGCAACACACTCCCTTCGACGATCCCCAGGATTTGCTTCCACCCATGGGGAAGTGAGTCACCCAACATGGCAGCATCGACAAACTTCCTCCGCTGCCTCTAAATCCCCCACTGCCCCTCTGATGCAAACCCATTCACGAACCCAGCAGCTCGGATTCCAGAGCATTATGTCTACTTGTCTAGTGGGCAAAGTTTCCACTGTTGACCTAATTAGTAGGTTCAACAATAGCTTCCATACAAGAACAAGGGATGTTTCTACGAAGTAAAAATGGGAAAGGAGGAAAACTGAACTTACTTTCTGCCTGTACAAGATTAGAATCTGAAAACAGTTGAAGGGACAGCAATAAACCTTTTTCAAATAAAGACACAGGCTCTAAATTAGTTAGCAACAAGAAATCATAGAGCTAAAGAATAATGCGATCTTTCTCAGAAATAAACATCCTTCACATCAACGCAATGTTTAACATAGATGAAGTTGTGGTTCCTAGAGATAAGCATGAAATGATAAAACATGAACTAAAATGATTAGGCTACATCCGCCCCATAGCCGACTTTACAGCATCCACGATTCTGAAGTAGTGGTAGAACAAAGCAGATTGCTCGCCCTCCAAGCCATCACGGTGGTGCCTGTTGCTGCCGGCAAGGTTGTTACATGGGCTACCCCCAATCACCAAGTCAAAGCCGCCAAATCTTCTAACAAACGTTGCAATTCTATCATCAGTAAGAGATTTCACGTCAGCAATCTCAATTAATGTGCCAGTTTGAGTCTGATCCCACCAACCCCTCAAAATCCTCCTATTAACTTCGCCTATCTCAACAGACACTACTGCCCTCATGTGGATCCCAAGCCTGTGAAGTGCTACCTCTCCTCCTCCGATACCAGTGAATAAAGATAGCACATTAACACCATTGGGATACATGTCCTTCAGCACTGACAGGTGGTAAGCAACGGTATCTACTTGGAACGAATTCCCAAGAGATTTGAACCTCTCTGTTTTGCCAACTCCCCTTGTGTGGTCCCTTGGAAAACCAAGCAGGTATTCTACCTCATCCGGCTCCAAATGAGCAACTTTGTTCTTCCCAACCCAGACAAGATTCCATTTTCTGCACTCATCCATGACATACTTTTGAACACTTTTAGGTGGTGGATTGCCTGAGCTTGCAAGAGCACATTGGATTCTTTCTGTCAATTTTGCACTTGACATGCTTGTCTGCAAACAATTGAGTTGCCTTCTCGGGTCCCAAGAAGGCCACCACTTCTTATAATGAGGAAAAGCCTCAAATATAGTCTTTGGAGGTAGAGGCAGGAGAGGAAATCTGTTCTCAATTGGCAAATTATGGATGTAGCCTCTTTTTCTAGCAGCTGCACACAAGTGCTTAGAATCCACAAACTCTGGCTCAATGTCATACAGGAATCTTGAAATTGTCGCCCATACACCTTTTGGAGCTAGTGCCACATTTTCATAGTAGAAGAAAGGTGGCCCAATAGCTTGTTGAGGAAGCCGTCTGGTCACTGATCGTAGCCTATCATTAGGCAGGTTAAATCCAACCATTGGATTTGGGAGAGGCATTGGTTCTTCATGGCTACCATCCAAGGGCCGTCGCTGTGCTGCACCTCCATACCGCTTCCGCTTTTTCTTGCTCTCTTCCATCAATCTTGCTCTCTTTCTCCCTCCCCAGCTACCAGTAACCTGTCAAATTATACACAAATTCCAACGTCCTTGCATCAAATTAAAAGAGAGAAACCATTTATTTTATTCAAATATACAGTCAAACCACAAGGTACCTCATAGTCAGACAAGTTCCCATAATGACAATCTCCTGCAGCCTGTGATGCATAGACTGAATCAACTAATACAGAGAGAGCGGCATCCATACCTAGAAAATTTCAAACATAAATATACATCATAAGGTGCCTTCTCCATGAAAGCATGACTGTCAGGTAACAACTTCAAAAAAGAGGCATACCACATCTGGTAATAGCCATATTTGCTTCATCTTCACGAAAGCCCATGTCTACTAAGGACTTGATCTTGTTGTCCTTCTCTGACATCTCTCTTAGGAAATCCTGCAGAGAGGCAAAGCAAAAATAGAGATTAGAAAATAATTTCTATATCTCGCTTCCTTTGCAATGCCAACTAAGTGACCAATGATAGGGAAATACAAGTGCACAACAACATCTACAAGGGCACAGAAAAGGAGGGCTACAGCTAATCAATGATCAGGAAATATATAACACATTTCTTTGGAAAGCTCCTACTAAGACTAGAAATTCCCCGATAAAAGCTAAAGAGAAAAAAGAAAGAAAATTGTAGAAAAATTTGACATGGTGCTCACTAAACCTCCATAATATCTAACAAGTCACCCAAGAAACAAGAGAAAAGAAACTGAACAAGAATCAATGAGATCGTTTGGAAACCCAACTTGTTATTCTCTGGTGCACTTATTCTTCTTAATGCAATGCTGCACAGCTCCTGCGTATTCGTTATGGGATTTTCTAAATTGGGTTTTTATCATTTATGCCACTAGTTGTGTCCCACTAAGTTTTGGCATTAGAAATTACAACTGCTCAAAAATGCCATCGCTTCATTAGATGTTTGCTCAGAAATGCCATTAGACATTGTTATTGTCAGGTCAAAGTGTCAAACCTGTTGACCATGTTATATGACAAAAATACCCGTAGACTCACATGTCAGTTCTCTTCTCTCTATCTCACAATGATAAGTGTGGAACCCACTTGTCAGGAGTAAGCAAGCAAATAATTTTAGAGGGAAATAAGAACGCTGTTGGGATCAAGTGGGACCCACACTTTGTCGTAGCGAGATGAGATAGAGGGAGAACTGGCATGTTGGTCCATAGGTATTGGTCATTATAACATGGCAAATGAGATTTGAGCTGACAGTAATGGTATCTAGTGGCATTTTTGAGCATGCACCTAACGAAGCGATGGCATTTTTGAGCAGTTCAAATTCCTAGTGGCAAAATAAGTGGGACATAACCAGTGGCATAAATGATAAAAACCCTTCTAAATTAGTGACTCTCTATATGTTTCTGGAAGAACATCTATGGATCGAATCCCTCCTGTTTCTCAGCTCTAACAGGTAGGTGTTGCTCTTCTGAGGTTGGCCTTAGAGGGAAGTTTGATGCAACTAGTCTGGTACCTGAAGTTCTTTCAGGTGATATGATTTTGTGTAAGTGAAAGTCAAAAGAAGAATCTTGAACTATGACATTTAAGTCAAGCTAAGTTTCCAACCCCACTTTGATTCTACTGAGACGAGATGAAGTAGGCCACATCACTAACTCTACTAGCAGTGCAAGATAGATTTATTTAGGTCCAGCAATATTCTTGCTTCTTTCTTTAGTATTCAGCATTTAGCTTGTACTACTTCCAAACCCTTCTGAGCTCAGTTAGATTATACCTATATCTTAGACTATATAAAAATCCAAGAGCATATTTGTTGTGTAAATTTGCATCTCTGAAGGTTAAAGCACATGTATGGGCAATATATTCTCTTGGATATGATCATATGAAACTCTTGCATAGCACCCATTAAGAAGAGAAATCATAAGAGAACTGCTCAACGCATGCATATGGCAAAGATTTCACATCATCACATGTATCAGCATACATATGATCAAAGATTTCTCAGTTACCGAACTAATGATAGAGAATCAACTACCTCATCACCAGAACTATCAGGGTTGGGCTCTCTCCCATCAGCATCATCGTCTCCATCCCAGTTTTCAAAATCAAAATCATCATCATCTTCAACACTCTGGGGGAAGCAGCCAGAAGTAGAGCAATTACCCACTGCAGCGTCATCACCCAGTGTCTGCAGTTCACATGACCAATTGTAACATATAATTCTTGCCACCGTGCAGCAAAAGCATCATAGGATAAACTAAGTAGCAGAATCATATGGACAAATACCTTATACGTGAGAAGTAGTTCCAGCAACGCATTTGCATCACTGTGCCCTGAAAGCAAAAGCCTGGTTAAAACAGGAGGGCAAAGGCACAAAAAGACAATGAAATGAAATTGATTAATTTCGGTATTACCAATCTCCTTAATTCCCTTCAAGACCATCTCTTTCGGGAAACCCATTAACACATATCCCTCGACTAACGAAGTGGGTGGAGCTTCCTCGTTGGCCCACCCATTAGAATCCTTTAGACAGTTGCATGAACAAATATCACACTATGATCATAATAAAAAATCATAGATAGCACTTGTTCTAAAAGACATAATTTTCTATCAATCACTATCCGCCGTACCAGCGTGGAAGGACCAGCGGCATCCAAGTTCCTGAAGGCCGGAGCTGATGAGGGTTCAGCCTCACCATCACTTTCCCACTCAAACTTATCACTATCATCGTTATCGCTAGTCCAGTCCTGTGACATGTCACATGAGTTAAGCACATCTCGATCCATGCTGGAAAAAACACTACTAGCAAAGCAATTATAGAGAGTAAAATCATACAATTGAGGAATTTTACTGTGCCACAAGCCCAAAACAACAAGATATTAAAATTGAAATCTCTATCAAAATCAGCGCCAGAAGAGTATACATCAGTACAATTAGAAACATCGGTTATGGGGATGCCTAACAAACTTAAGAGTGAACATTCAGAGGTCCAGAAGAAAATTTCTCTGGGAACTAGAACACATTCTGAATAAGAGGGCATTTACCGGACGACACTGATCAGATTGGTAAATCTGAAAAGGTGATAAGATTAAACAGGTTTGCCCATTTTGTCAGCTGGAATAAGATTAACCAAAAAAGACACTACTGTAGTACAGCTTGGCGGTGCATGCATCAAATTGTTAAACAAAGATACTTTGCGATCGAAATTAACTGCTCAAATGCATGAGGTGAAGTGCCAGATTGGTAAGAATTTTGGACCATATGGGTGGACCAGTGTAACACAAACTAAAACCGTAGGGTTCCTTATGCTATATGCCTGAATTCTGATCACAAGAGTGTCAACATGTCGTCATGAACGTCATATGAAAAAAGATCATGCACGATTGAAACCGAAGACAAAATCAGCACAGCCCCATTCAACTCCACGGTCCAGAATGCACCAAGTAAGATTAAAAAAAATAGATTGAATGGACCATAAAGAAAAGATACACATGAGAGTGTCCTATGAAGAAGGCATTCAGCTTGTGCTGGGTTTACCCTCCTCCCCAAAAAAGAAAAAAAAATGGTGCTGTGAATTCACCTATACAGATCGATATTTTGACAAAGTATTGCAGCAGAGTATTTGGCGTAATCCATTCATGACCTATGTGCGAAAATGCAGACAAGGATCAGTGAGCTGATCACATAGTACAAGAAACAGACTGAGGAGCTAATGAGACGATGGAACATGAAATCCGGTGAGTGCTATATTCTGAAATCAGCACAGGCCGAGGCCGACCCAGTTCTAGTGTCTGGGACACACCGAGGAAGGGGGGAACATATTTTTCGATCGAAGAAACCACCAAAATCTCAGCGTGCGAACCAAATCGTCTACGGAGAGATCTTCCCGACATCTGGGGGAGTTAGTTTGATTCGATTTGCGCCGTAGAAAAGAGAAAGGATAGCCCTTTCCGAGTGTTTCGAGTCAATCGAAATTGAATGTAGTGCGAAAGGAGTCCTAGGTATAGTAGAAATCATATGAAACGCAATCCACACATAAACATTACTAAGCATTCCATTTCTCAATCGAAAATCCCTTGAATCATAGGGCCCAGAGATCGGCGTAACAGAGGAAGGAGAGGAGAACCTACCACCATTGTTGATCTGAGAAGACGCGCCCCCTCTGGCCCTCTCTTTCTTTCCCTCTGCGGTAAAGAGGGGGAAGGGGAGGAAGAAGCGAGCACGAGGAAGAGCGGAGGCGGAGGTGGAGCTGCGGGGGAGAGCGCGACGGCGACGATAACGGCGACAGCGGAGGAGCGGGCAAGCACACGAGGAAGGGCGGAGGCGCAGGAGGAGACCGCAACGGCGACGGCGACGGCGGAGGAGGAGGCGAGCACTGGGGAGAGCGGAGGCAGATGAGGAGGAGAGGGCAACGGTGATGGCGACGGAGAGTGGGAGACGGACGACAGCGGCGCGGCCTCCTCTGCCCCTCTGCGCTTTAGACGAGGGGCAGGCGAGACGAGGCTGCGCTGCACAAATGTGCTGCTGCTGGTGCGGCCTGCTATGCACACGGACGTTTCTTGGGTTTTCTTGGTGAGAGAATGGAAGACGGGCGCTAGCCTTGGTTCTCTCTTGGATGTGTCGCTGCGCACACAGGGCTGGTTACACAGTTTCTGTGCGCAGCGCACATCTCAATCTATGAAGGAGGAGAGAGAAAAAGCATCTCACATTGATTGTGATAATAATGAAGCCAGATTCCCACCTTATCAGGCTTTGACTAGTCGGTGGGAGGCTTCGTTTTTAAGTGTTTTTTAGTGTTGATAAGGCGGTGACGATTATCTAAAGATGGAATAAATTTCTCTCTACCTAGTCCATGTCTTGGCGGTGCATCTCCCATTATCGAAGGGTGTGTGGAAGTGTGTCGCCGATGGATCTCGCGGAATACGATCTCTATCGTCTTTGATGGATCCCCGTTGATCCGGTCTTCATCGTTTGCTTTCGTGTGTCTATAGTTTCGATTATTCTGATCTACACTTTTCTTCATCAGTAATTGTTATTGTTCTGATGTGATGGTTTTTTGGGGCCTTAGCACGTTGACTTCCCAACTGTTTATCACAAAAGGTTTGTTTGGATCCGGATCCGGATAATGACGAAGCAATAGTTAGAACACATTTTTAACTAGAACAATTATGCCTTCCATACCAAATATCAAGTTGTATCCATTCCATTCCATGACGACAAAACTATGTCCCTTTGATTCAAAAAATTGTCATAAGAACTGTAAGGAATGACAATTTTCCTATATGGGTTGTATGATTTGTAGGGTTGAGCCTCATCAGAATGTCTGCTAGTGTTCATTTCGATTATGAGAGGCGATTTCCTATGCATGGTGGTAGCTACGCATGCATGGTGGCAAGTGCACACCCTTTGTCATAAGTGCCTTTTTTGATATATGAGGTGTCAGGTTTCTTATGGCATTGGCACAAGTGCATTTTTGTTGTATAGAAATGACCTTTTCTCACTTATGTTGGTCTTTTTATTACCTTTTTGACACAAGTGCCTTTTCGTTGTGTAGAAAGGGACTTTTCTCAGTTCTCTCCGTCTTTTTGCTTGCCTTTTTGGCATAATTGCCCGTTTGCTTGCCCGCCTGGTCCAAAGTCACGATATTTTCATTATAGAGTTATTTTTGATAGTCCAAAATAATCTATCAAAACAATTAAAGATAAAACTCGGGGTCGTGCGTAGCTACCACCATGGGTAGCAAATTATTTTTGTTTGGATTATATTTCATAAAAAAGCCATCCACTCAAGCCAGATTTTTTGCATTGTGTAGCAAAAAATATCATGGGTAACCAAATTCCTTAGGATTTGAGTAGCCATGGCATTAAAATCCAATGTGTTTTACATTCTTTCTTTTTTTTCTAATCGTGTGCATAAAATAGGTCCTAAACAACTTATTTTAAGAGCATGTATGGTCATTTATCATTAACTCTTGGTGGTGCGTAGTGTTATACAATCTAGATTTGTTGTGTTGTCTTCATTATTAAATATGTTGTTTGCAATAGCTAGGTCTTTTTTTAGAACCCACGAGAAATCTACGCACCCTTATACTATTAAGACATGTATGAAGTAATAGTTACAACAGAAAAGTCCGGAAAAGGTAACTTGCCTTACCACGTCATCCACCACGGACTGGGTATATGTGACACAATGTCACCCAACTTTGCAGGGGCGGAGCCAGCGTACAAGCGTTGGGTTCAGCTGAACCCAACGACTTTTCCTGGCCGGGGTACAGGTATACGTATAGTATGTGCATGAACCCAATGAAAATTAAGGCCTGAACCCATCAACTTGGAATGCAACGCTAGTGAGAAGCCCAGAAGCCGACAGTGGATTCCCTCCGTGCCAGATAGGCCTGATCGTGGCTTCTTGCCTATTCTCTTTTCCCAAAAAAACGCGCGTATAGGGCAGCCGCCAGCCGCACGACCTATTGCGCTCCTTTTCCCTTCCTCCCCTCTGCGATCTACTCTCGTTCGTCTCGATACCCAACGACAGTGATGCGCCGACAAGGGAAGGTCGGCTGCGGCAAACCCCCCAGACCAAATTCGAGGTACTGACTCACGTGGTCAGATCATCAAATCCCCCACATCTCCTCTCTGTTATGCATGCCCTGGCCAGTTGCCCATAGTTTTCTAATTACTTATTCGGTTAATCCTTGTAATTTGATTGATCTAGGCTATTGAATTGTATTTCTGAAAAAACGATCATCAGATTTAGATAATGATGCAAGCAGTTCAAGGTCACATTAGACGTAAATGTCATCGTGAGTATTCTTCTGAAGCCTTCTATTCAAAGAGAAATTAACATAGATGAGTTAAGATTCGGCTGGTCGGAAGATAATTTTCATGTACACAAGAAATCCTAGGAAGCAAGATGATATTAGGTTCACATATTTAACGAATGGACCTTACATGCCACTATTTAGTTATGTTTATCCACATAGGGATATTGAGATGGATGGAGATTTAATCCAGGCTGGTTTAAAGAAGGAAATTGTTAATTATTTTGCAAAGAGGACTTCATCATGGCATTTTTTGCTATTATTTGTGGTTTCTTACAAGTTAAAGATGTTCCCTAATGAGTTATTTATCTTCTATGTAGATAATTTTGAATTCTATTATTGAAAAAATCAGAGGTAATGTATTCATTTTGTTGATTGTTGAGGCTGCCGGCGTATCTAACAAAGAACGAATGTAATTACTTTTGAGGTACCTTAGCAAGCGTTCATTTATAATTGAATGTTTAGTTGGAGTCGAAGATGTTATGGAAACATCAGCAATTTTTGCTCTTAAAAGATATTCACTAATATTGCATCAGGCATATAACAGGTCAGAGGACAATACTATGATCAGGCAAGCAACATGGATGGTGAGTTCAATGGCATGAAAGCAAATATTTTGCAAGACAAGTGACCTTAATTATTACATCCATTATTTTGCTCAACAACTCTAGTTGGTTATTATGGCAGTATTAAAGAACCATGATGATATTGCAGATTTTTTCTACATGATCACCATTTCATTCAATGCCATCCAGCTGATATGTCCCGCACTCTTTCAATTTTCAATGTAATACAATATGTGATAGGTGATGTCATATTTCTATTCCTTATGTTTTTTTCAAGTGCTAAACTCGTGTTGTAAGATGGTATAAATTAGACTTCATACTTAATTATTTCATACCAAATCCTCATAACAAATCAATAAGTGAACCCAATGGCAAAATTTTCTGGCTCCGCCCCTGCAAC